AAAGAAAGAAAGAAAGAAAGAAAGAAAGAAAGAAAGAAAGAAAGAAACTTCTGTAAGCAGCTGCAAATCCGCAGTATTTTGATGGCACTATCTAAGCCCATATTTTGTCTTTATTTTCATTACTATTCGGAAGGAAAAATTGTTTCTGCATTTACAGTAAAAGAATTGTTCAGTAAGCATGACTAGAACTTAATAGTCACCAGGGAATTCATATGCAAAAATTGAAATATACGCAGTGGAATTCCTGCCATTGATTTACGCCCAGACCGTGGCTGAGTCTATCAGCGTGAACTCATCATCTCAACAGAGCTGCAACACACGGTTTTATAGTTGCTCACGCTGCAGCAAAGCCTGGTTTTGATCCATTACCATGATGGTCTCTTGGGATGGCTGCTGATGTATACACACACTAAATATATCCCTCAGAAAACAAATATGTCCATTACAAAAGCCTCTATTTTACCAGTCACAGATGGGAATGACTTTTTAATTAAAATCCATGTTTAAAATGTAAAAATAACAGCTTACTGTAAATATTTGCAGTTGCCACTACCAGGCAATAGTGGCTTTTGGATCCACCGTGCAGCTGCACAGCAGATCCCACTGCAATGCCCTGAACAAATCTGACTATTCACAGGCTTTCATCACCAAGTTTTTTAAAGGCTCTTGTCATAACATCATCTTATTTTCACAGCATCCCAGTTTTAGTTTGTCTTCATGAGAAAAGTGCATTAGAAAAAAAGTAATTAATGGAATCGAGCTAAAACAGTTGGATGAACAAAGCTGAGATTGAGAGCTTCATCTCTACCATGAAGCAGGCTCACCAGGCACTGACCGTGGCAAGCCTGGCAGGTGCAGAAGCTAACCTGGTCTTCACTCTGTTAGTACTCAACAAGAGTTCATTCTTTTTAATTCTAACCAGATGAAAATAACACAAACTCAGGTATTTTTAAAAGACTTCCTACAAATAGAAGCATGAAGGTCTGCAGATCAGGTGCTTCATTTGCCTGCTATCTAACCAAGCTGTCATGGCGATTCTGGCACCTTGGCACACGGAGCAGCGGTGACGTGCACCATTACTGCTCACAGTTCCAAACACATCTGAGAGAGGTATTTGTGGGAGCCCGTTTTCCTTCTGTAATGGGCAATTCGAACATACTGCTGAAAAACTTGCATCACACATCACCCATCTCAGGCTGCCCACCATTGTTTAATACAAATGAAGTGTTATTAGGCTTGTTATTAAACAATCTCTCCACAACTGTCCTTCCAACCCATGCTAATTTTCACCTTAATTTTTTTCTTAACGTTATTGATCGTTGCAAATCAGAAATTTACATCACAAAATTGGCAAAATACACACTGAAGTATCACTCCTTGGTGGTGTTCATGCAAACAGGGACAAAGGCACACGATACTGTTTAAAACATTAATGTTCTTTACCACTCTAGCAAGTACAAAGCACTTTATCCATCAGGTTCTAACAGAAGAGCAGACTTAAAGGACTGAGAGTACAATCAGGGATTACTTTGAAGTAGTAGCCAGGATTTGGAAGAGTAGGAATGGCATCACTGGAGTTATGGAAGGGAAGAGAAGAGTCAACTTGGAAATCAGCTTGGAAAGACGGTCACTTAGAATTAATTAATAACAATTAATGCTTACGATGAAAATGCTTTCGATACTGAAAATGACCATATAAGCACTTGAAGGCTACAGACATGAACATAATGCAAGTGGGGAAGAGGCTGAATTCCAATGACTGCTACTGGATAGAAATTCATTTGAGATGGTGTCAGATCCATTCTACTACGAATGACCTGCATCCAAAAGCTCCTCTTCAAAAAGTTACACAGTAAAATATAAAGAATGTCTTCTACTGTACTTGGATATGTTTACTGCAATACTTTTTATTTACATATAATCAGGAATGCAATTAAAATAAAGGTCCTACAGGTGCCCATTTAAGACATCCCAGTCAGATCATTATTATTATTATTATTATCCCTCTTTGTGACACAACCAGGTCCGGTTAATGAGAAGTTTAAGGAAGTTCCAATTCTGCAACAGTTGACCAACCAACCAGTCAGCACATGAGATGAAGAGGAAAGGCACACACCATGTTTGGAAGCCACTATGTAAACCAGTGAACAACTGCTACGACAAAAACGTGTCAGAAAGGTAAGTGTGCTGTAGGACACCTTGTCTGGTTTTGTCCACTACTAAGCTTGCTACTGAAAACGTTTAATAACACCAATAGATACCAAACTTCAGAAAAAGACAAAGTTCTCAATCCAAGGAAACAGCACTTGATCCATAGCTGATCAATCCATGGCACCATGAAATCCTAGCTCCTTCAAGAACTCAATGTAATATGCAACAATAGATGGAAAGAGATGTCAAGGAGGCAACTACGTACTGTATATAGAAATTAATTGGAAGTTGATGGAAAAATGGAACGATGAGGAAGGAAGTTGAAAAAAACCCTAGGAATCCCTTAGCTCGGGAGCATGAATTATAGGAGTTACTCCAGGGCTGGTCTTCTAGCATTTTTATTACTTCATAAAAAAAAAAAAAAAAACAAGCAAAAAAATTCACTGGATGATTATAGCCTTAAATCCATTTATCAGCACAATACATTCCATCTAGAAGGGCACCAACCCAGCCTCACCCCAGGCAGCTCTGGCAGGGAGGAATTCAGTGCCCATCCTTTCTAATGAAAACACTGAGAAGAATTAGTGACTAGTGCAAGATTAAAAGCTGTTTTTTGCAAGTGAACGGAGTCCACAGAGAACTGTTCTGCGTTCATGGACTCATTTTAAAAGGGCCGAAGAGTAGGAACAGCTCATTTCAAATTAGCAGCAGAGGTGAGAGACCTTGTGGTCCCTGTTACCAGTGCCCCCAGCCATCAGCCTACAAGTCAATAGATACTGTGCTGCAACAGACTGGTGTTTTAGCATTAGTTATTGAAAAAAAATATCAAGTACGGTGCTATGCCTGACCAGATGAAAAAGAAGAATGTTCTACATGTAGCATTTAGCTGGAGCTTCAGGGGAGTATTTTCACGCACCATGGATACTACTGAATGTAAAGGAATTTACTGAAGGACTTGGGATCAGGTCCAGAACAGCTACTGAGGGTACGCTGACATTTATAATCCTCACAGCAGAACACTGAAATGCAATTTCATAAACGATTGTTATAAGAAATGATTTAAGGAAATTAAGTCACCATAAAAATGACCTTCGATGTAAAGAATTTTTAGATGGTATTTGGAATTCACAGCTCCTGTCAGAATGGAAACTGCAGAAACCAATCAGCAAACTTTCAGAGTTACTGCTGAGGATTAAAAAGTCAAATAAAAAGACAGCTTAGGCCAAATCCTTAACGTGGGAGAAAACAGAATAATGCAAAACCTTAAAAATAGGCCGAGTTTCAAAATTAATAAGAATTTTTAATATAACTTTTTGCCCTGCATTTGCCACAGCAATATGTTACATACAAAGTATTACAAGCTCCTTCAGCCTCAGAGATGATACAAAATCACTGCAGGGGTCAGAGAAAGAATTTTAAAGATACTGGGTGTCACTGGTATACAGGAAATTAGTGTCTGCGTTTGGCCGGCAGCGTCAGCATCTCAGCACTTTGGGAAGAAGGAGCTGTAGGAAAAATATGTGTGCATGCACAGGAGGAAGACAAAGCCAGCTACAAAACATGTCGGGATGCTCTGACCGAAGATAACATCGCCGTGCCTCAGAATCCCGCAGGCAATATGCTCCAGAGCTCTTTGCACAGCTCATTCCCTCAACCCTCCTCGATGTGGGAGCATGTCAGGACAGGCAGCTTCTCTTTCATGCTCTCGCTTAATTGCTTTTACAGTAGGAGCTATAATACAGAGATGATTTCCTTGTGGCTGAGTTTCCGTTAAGCAGGGCATGTTCTAGAATTCAGTTCAATAAGCAGCACTGGTAATAATGCAACCAAATAATGTTTTAAAGCGTCAATTGGATTAAGTTGAAAAAAAAACCAACAAACTTCGGTAAGCTTAAACAGAGGTTGTGAAAACTTACCATATTTATAGAGGGAAAAATAATGTTCCTTGTCTTTTCCAGTTTCATATTTCATATTATTCATTACTGCCCCATAAATGAGTTTTGAATGTATGCCTTCCACGTGTTCAGAATGCCAGGGCAGGATAGCAAAGTGGCCATATATGGAAAACAAAAGGAAAACATGAATCGTAAAGATGAGAGCAGAACTTCAAAAACTAATTTTTAAAGCCTCCAGAACAACAAAACGTGCATTAAAACCTCTCAAAACGGCACAAGCAGCATGAATAATGCCAAGATAAATTTGCCAAAAGAAAACGATGATGAAATCCGAGTCAGTAATGAAGAACAATATATTATGGAAGCAGCATTGCAGGAGAGAGGACAACAGAGGAACAGCAATTGAGAACAGTGAGCAAGCCACTTGTAAGCAAATCCACTGATTAGAAATACCTGCTTAACCACAGCTCGGAAGAAGAAGTGCTGTCTTATGAAGTCGCTAGCACTGAATGGATCACCACACTAAGTTTGGAAATATGTGCTCTAGAAGCAATTTAAAGCTCATTAGAAATAATTGTGTCTGGCTACTGGAAAATGTGGTAAAATTTAATCCACATCCAAATGCTACCTGGGCTGTGAGAACAGGAAATTGTTTTGTGCTACTGTGGCTAACCTCATCGCTGACCCTGAGCAGTAACTGCTACAACAGCTGAAAGCTGAAGCAAAATTAAAAACTTACATCAAAGTATATCATGACAGAATGTAGATAAATAAAAACAGCATATTGAAAGTATTATTTTTATGTCGGTCTTCTATAATGAAAGGGAAGAGGTTTACTAAAATGTAAAGCAGCCACAAAACAAAAATAGATGGTTCCAGGACGTGCTGAAACATAAATCCTATACAATTGGGAGTTCAAGAACACAGTGAGGAGACTTGCACATTCAGAATTAAAAGTGAGATATACTGGCAATGAAGAAAGGTGGACCATAGTATTCAATCTCCTTTCAATTTTCTTCTCTCAGCTGTTTATTTTACATCACTGTATCACTCAGTCTCAAGCCATAATGGACAAGATCCTAACAAGGATAATTGACCGTCTAAGTGCCTTTCGCATCGTATGCCAGGGTTTACATCTTTGGAACGCATAGCATTTGTAAAGACCTCTTAGTCAGAACTGCCCTCAGCACGATGTCATTACTGGATAAACCAGCAGCCCTAGTCACAAAGCCAGACCTGCTAAGCACAGCCACGCATTTGCTGAAGTGCTAATTTTCACATTTTAAATTTTGCTCAGCAACAACTGCCAACGCTGAAAGTATTTTGAAAACAGTTGTTGGGGATTTTTTTTCTGCTTTTCACTCAAATATGTGAAATGAGTGCACACAAGTCTAAGGGAAAAACACGTTATGTGTTAGTCAAGAGATGTAAGAAGATTTCAGCATCTCATATCCATTCATGCACACCCTAACACCACAGCACCAACTTTTTCCCCACCTTTATTTCAGCCTGGCACAGATCTTACAGAACACACACAGTAAATGGAGGTGCCAGCTGTACATAAATGGACATTGACAAGCTTTGCAAGAATTTTAGATGGACAGAAAGTGACGCATGAGTTTACCAGCTGTTTGGTTAGAAAAGTTATTCCCATCGAAACAACAGCCCAGCGTTTACAAAGAACAAAGGCATATGTAAATTTGATTCCTATCACATAAAACAAGCTGTCTTTGTAAAGGATCTGCGCCTTCTCCAAAGTGCTCTGATTCTGTGAGAGGAGCTCAGCATCCAGGGCAGAGCAAGCAGGAGAGGTGAGGGGTAGCGAGCCTGGTGTTCAGGCTGGGATTGCCAAGACAGGCACAGCTGGGCCTTCAGGTGACAGGAGAAACTTCTCAAGGACGACAGGAGCCTGGGCACACTGTATGGGAACCCACTGCATCAGTGGATGAACTGAGAGCGAGACTGAAAGAAAGGAAGGACTTGCCCACAAGGACACCATGAGGAAATAAATGTTTACTTCTGTTTTGCCCTCTCTGTCTCATCTCATCACTCTGTGCTTCTCTTAGTTTAAAAAGGCAATTATTACAATTTGGATTATAATGAAATCCACCCCGAGTTTCAAAAGTCTTTTTGATCAACTTTGAGGAGCTCCCTGTAAACTGCAGGCACATACAGCAGGGCTGGCTGACTGGATAAGATAAAAAGCAAATGCTTGCAAATGTTATTTCTTGAAATCCGCAGTCCGTCTTCTATTTGTTCCCTAATGCTTTAGCCATAAAATCATGCTGAAGGTGAGAATCTCAACCATCACGTTCAAAATGTTAAGTTTCTCACACTCATGACACAGCAGACTCACAGCGCTGTTCAGAACGAGATTGCAAGCACTGCTCAAGAACACTGCTGAACTTCACCATCGTCACTGGGTTTGCATGGTCATCTTTCCCAGCACGTCTCCAAAGACCACATATGCTTAAAGGAGAAGTATCAATTCAAAAAAAGCCATGCAGTATTAAAGACTAAAGTTTTCCTTAAAAACAGCACAGATTTTAAGGTATTCAGAAAGACATTTCAAATTAACGAAAACTCACTCGGTATCGTTATTTTTATAGGTACCTAACCACACTAATGAACCCTTACCACACATTTCCAAAAGAGTTGTGTCCATTCTTTCCACTGGAACAGAAATCTCATCAACTGCTAACTGGTGATAAATGCTAAAAATGTTAACAGCAATCGTTCCAAGGTGATTAATTACAGTATATCTTGAAATACTTACAGTGGGCAGTAAAAACCTCCCAGAGTGTAAACCAATGACCACTTCAGGAAAGAGCTGCAGCAGTTTGAAATATCGCTAATGCAGGACGCTTATTGCAGGGCTCACAGCTGAGCCGAGGCGGCCGGCAGGCCAGTGCTGCCCATCTGTGCCAGCACAGAGCCAGCTGGATTATTGGAAATCACTGCTTTCAGAGGCTGCTTCAGCTGACTGTGCTGGGGGCTCTTTCATGTTCATTTTGCAGGGAGTCTAATCCTGGAATCAGTGTTGACATCACTCAAAGAAGAGAAAACGTGAACAATTTCTCTAAATATCTCTAAGTGTTGGAAAGATACTGCTGTGACCCTGACTCTGATGAGAATATGAATGCATTTTAAAAGCAAAACACACAAAAAAAAATATTATACAATTACATGCACACAAACATTGAGTAGAGGCTCTTCTCCCATCTCCATATCTTTCCTCCAAGTTTAGTTGACAGGTGGTTTAAGATTTTTATTTTGAAGGAAATTAAGAGCACTCCTCCTGCAATTTGTACTGAGTAAAACAACATTTTTCCATTGCAAAATAGTTATGGAGGACAAGGAAGGGAATTGTGGAATAAAGCTCTTACATCATCACTTCAGCTCTTCCTACAACACACAAACTGATGCCCACACATCCCTCACGACTGTTCACAAGAACCAACATTTAACTAAGGGAGCAACAGGTGTTTGGACACAGCCTTCAGCACACGCTGTGGCTCCACTGCTTCATTTACATCTTAAATCTGCACTGTCCTGAAATTTCCTTATACAGTGTCTAATTAAATCCTAGCATGAGCCAAAAGATGCTGTCTGGTCCCTGTGCCCAAGAACTACCAATCCTTCAGGACTGAGAACTTCATGAATTTCACACACACATACCCACAAACACACACGTTTTGCATTTGAAAGCAGAAGGTTTCTTAATAGAACGTTTTGTAGACCTGAGTTAAGAATGAAGAAGACTGGGGCTGTGTGGCTGACAAAGCAAGGATCACAGACTGGAGGCCCACTGCTAAGATAACTGGATGAACAATCATTAGGTATCGTTTCAATAAGAGCAGAAATGATGGTAAAGGCTGATTGCAATTAAAAGGAAATGTAACGGCAGTGGGGTCCAGTACTGCAGGACAAGCGAGCTTGAAGCTCAAGATTACATTTGCATTTCTTTATATCAAAAGAAAATTTCCAGTCATTAAATGCAAACTATGTATAAAGCTAATAGAAACTTTATAGTAAAGTCGGAAAGTTTACCTCTTTCTTCCCATACAAGGAAAAGCTTTTTTTTTTTGTTTTAATCAGTGTCACAAATGTACCTCAGAATACAGCTAGAAGGTTTGTGCCAGCTTAGAACGTGGCGTCTTTGAAAAAGAAAACAGAGAAATGTTTTGGCAAGGAGTGAGAGTTAGACGGATAATATTCTTCTGTCCTACATAAATGCATTCTGCATATACCGTTCCCATACCCTGCAGTTCAAAAGCAGATTACACCCAAAGGGTTTTTTTACAAGCAGCCACGTAACAAACACAATTTCCAGACCTAAAATGCAGCCCGAATGCATTGAAAGCATATTTGATGTACCAGTTTTCTCTCTTGAAAAGTAGCAGGACATTTATGGCTATTTCCTCGTACACAAATCACAAATCTGCAAAAATGTTGGTAATGTTCCTTTCAAAATATTTAGGAAGTGAAATTTTAAGCTACAAAGTTAGCTGGAGTCTATTACGAACAGTCAGTGTCACAGACCTGTTGCAACTGAATACCTGAGTGGGAACAGTAAAATGAAGCAACTTATTATGAGCAGTTGTAACAGTGCTCTAGGGTAAAGCTGTTATGGTCCTATTATGTCTTGGAGCTGCTGGAATATAATTTGAATATATAAAATCAACCCACACCTATCAATCAGTAGCCAAGATCAAACACCTCACGAGTATTCGTATCTTTGCTGAAATCCATTTACAGCTGCTAAAAGAGTTGTTGAAGTGATACAAGCAACAGTGCTACATGAACACATCCCCATCTGTGAAAGAAAGGAGCTCCAAAGGTCTGCCAGTAAGCTCTGCAGCCCACAAAGGGCTGAGACGGGTGGTAGTACATGGCAGTCCTGCTTTGTTCTCTAAAACTCAGCAGTGGCCAGGGATAGGAACTAACAGGATTTCTGTAGCACGAGACAGGCGAAGAATGACACTGCAGAGGAAATTTTAATGAATACCTACCGTACGTACAAATCATTTCACTAGCTTCTCTGAAGAGAAGAATTCCATTTGGAGATGATCCATCAAAATTTAAACGTTGTGACCTGAAAAAAATAACAGTAAAAGTGCTCAGATGGTCATCAAAACAGAAAACTGCAAAGGACTCATTCCATAAAACAGAGAAAACGTATTTGCTGATCACACAGTACATTTACTCAATAAATTCTAGCTTTCACTCCAATGATGTGACTCTAGTTATCTAAATATGGTTGCTTAAGACACAGTGGTGACAAAAGAGGAAACAATTTTAACCAGAAATGGTGACAAGACAACACATACTTCCCTTCACGGTGACCCGTGAGCACCTTGTGCCTGCATACAGCTTAGAAGAATGATGCAGAGTTCCCACAGTCCAACTAGTTGGGATAACTTTTACCCTTGCTTGTTCCTAAAATCAGCCAATCCCCACAGGTTATTCTGCCACATAAAATTCATGGCAATCAAAAGCCAGTTCTGTGAGTGTAAATTGCAATACATGCATTCTATGAACAGTCAGACCTTAAGAAGATGGAACCACGCTCTCTCTCCTGATGCAAACACTTCAGCAAAGCCAACACAAACCGTTTGGTCCCCAAGTTGGAAACGCAGCAGAGTTATTGCCAAAGACTCTGCTGTATTTGTCTATTCTCTCTGTGATACAGAATTTTAACTTCCAGTTTATGCCTAAGTGAGAGCCATTTAGAACTTAAAAATTGATTTTCAACACAGATCTTAAGTTTCTGAGTAACTTTAGCAAAAACCTTACCTTTAGTGCTGGTTTGTCCTGAGCAGGAAAGGAGCTGTCACTGCGAGATGTAACACAGAGCACCCCTGGCTGACCCATTTGTTAGTCTGCTTTTGGTGGTATGTGGATTGTAAGACCCCTGTCACAGAGACAGCAGTCGCTATCTTTCACTGCTCTAAGTCCAACTTTTTGTTTTCTGAGCCCCTTGAAGCAGCGCCCACTGCTTCCAATTATGGAGTAAGTCTGAGTATTTACCAATAAACAAAATGTGCTGCATGCAAAATATTTGTGGATTCCACATGCTCAAAATGATAATGGCTCACAGAGGCAAGAACAAAAAGAGCACATCTTCTCAATGTCTGAGTGGCATAATGCAAAATCTGATACTCTGTAACACGTTTTAACCATGTCAAAGTATATTGTATAATGCATTCTAACCTGTAAAAACTAATGCACTACACAACTCATGAAAACCTCCATCCCAGATGATGTTTTCTAAAGGGAACAAGGCAGATTTTCTGAATACCAATAGACAGAAAAACAACATGAATATGGAAAGTAGTCATTTTTTTGCATAAGATTTATTGTTCCAGTTCCTCTTTGCTTCAGTTTGCTATTATTAGAGTGCTGTGTTTATGTTTTAACAGTCTCTCCTCGGAACGAGTTGCAGCACTGTTAGAGTGCACTGCTTGCGCACGGCACTGTCAGTAAGAATAGGTTAAACTTGTCCAGCCTTTACTACAACCCAACTGGGATAAAAGGCATAATTAACCCACACAAACCAAAGAGGAAGCCACGGCAAGGCAGTCCGCACACACAGCAGCTCTCCTCTAGGCCGTGCAGCCATGCAGGCCCCCAGCACACATCACGCTTCACCAATTTCAGGCACCACTTTCCTGCCACTCCATTCCAACAAGTATTTCTTCGAACTTGAAATATTGCACCTTTTCTCCCTGTACGACTGACTTGCAAGGCTGGATCAAAAGCGATGTGCACACACCCTGTTCTGCTGAGAACCCCAATCACTTTGGTCACAAAGATAACCAGCACAGAGACACTAACTATCCATTTCTCATTTCAAATTCATTTTTTCCTTTGGGCAATACACTAAATATTTCCATCTGTAACATCCCCAAAATAAATTGTTCTGTTACCAGCGGTAAAAGAGAAACTTCATTCTAACACCTGCAATGTAAAGTGTTGACATCAGCTACTAGAATTGTTCTGCGGCCTTTTCAGGGAGCCCATGAAGAAGAATTTAGTTGTGGGACAAGCTACTTACAAGCTGATTATAAATAATGCTGTGTTGGATAATATTCTTTCCTATTTTGAACT